TGGGGGGGGGGGGGGGGGGGGGGGGGGATAGGAATGAATATGGGGAAGGGGGTCCTTTCCTCCTTCCCAAACCCATCCATGTTTTGCCTAATGTCCGTTCGAATATGTTCCTGTACAGTTCCGCCACCATAAATCAACTTAACTAGAGACAGATTGAAGTGCCGTGGTCAAATGATGGGCATCACGGGGCTGGGGAATTATCTCCCTTTTGATTGTTGATACGTTACAGGTTTTCTATCCTCAACCGTTACAACATTAGTGGACAACGGTTGTGTTTATGTTCGCGTCAAGTCGCTAATTGATGGATAAGATCAAACTAATCGCCACAGCATGGTATGGGGTCATAGCATGATTACGCATTTGCGCGTTGGGGGATGATTACCGGACAGCAGGAATTGGCAATGGGAGCGGTCAGCTACCTTTGATAAAAGGTACCGTAATCGGGGCGAGGTGTTGCGAATAGGGAGTGAGCGTGGCGGGCGGTCAAGGATTATATTGTGCTGTTTGATTACAACATAACATAAATCTCCCGATATTCTCTCTAATACCTTTATATAAATGACAACATATTTATGATATATTTACGATACAAACATTGAACTATTCAACCGAGTATGCTAATTCCATTTTCAGAAAAGGTTGGTACAAATGGGATTTCACATCTTGTTAAGTTGTATGCTTGATTCAACATGCTATATCTAACACACCCTACCAGAAAAAAACCCGGAATCGGATCAGTGTCGTTTTAAAGCTTCTAAGGTAATTAACCTAAGAAGCAAACATTTAGATATCGTTAGCTGTTTCAGGAATATCATTTGCACTGACGACACTTTAGAGCCTCAAATATATATTATGGAATTCATGAATATATATCACGTATCAGAAATAATCATTAATATATAACTTAATGAACGGCCTTCATGCAATATGGATGTGAAATATTTGCGTTCATACCAATATGAACTGTGTAATTGCTTTCGTTTGGCTTTTATTGTCAATTTAGCAAGAAGAGTAAAATATGAAAACCACCTCGATTCGCCTTCATGATATGTACCATGACGGCACATTTCAGATTGTAGAAGGGTATGAAGCTTAGATGCGGCTTTCTATCTCCTTCTTTTAACAAGATGGTATTCCGTCTTTGCGTATTGCAGAGTTATCTTCTCTTGGGAGCAGGGATTGATTATTTCGTCACTTGTTTGTGAGAGTAACGTCATCAATTTTTGAGAAAACGACGTAATTTTCTCACACAAACCAATGACGTAACAATCAATACCTGCTCCCAAAAGAAGATAACTCTGCAATACGCAAAGACGGAATACATTTTTCTTTAAATAGTTGACCTCTCAAGGTTTTCGTAATTGTTCATTTTACGAAGTATTATTCGAACGCAAACATCAAAGGAACTTAATTGATTTTTAAATGCATTGGTATAGTTTTATAAAGGAACTGTTGTCGAATTGTATGAACTATCGAATTAAAGATAAGGGGAGGGCGGGGCGCAAGTGTTCCGAGGATAGTGCCCTGCATCTTGAATGGATGAAAAAGGAATGAGGTCACTGACCTTGTAGCGGAAACACCCGATATCCTAGATAGTTTGACCTCACGAGGACTGATTTGGTGACCGTGACAGGAAAAGAAAAAGGCACAGTGTGTGGTAGACACCTAACAGCTGTATTTACATTTTTTTCGGGCGGGAAAATATTGCTATTCTACGGGAAAAGAGAGGTGTTCCTACGAAAGTCGATGGATTGTCGTTTGTGACTGAAGATGGTTTGCCATTTTCTGACAAATGAGAAATATAAATTTTCTGATAGTTGCCACTTGAAGACAGAGGATAATTGTTGTTTTAAGACAGAGGAGGGATTGCCATTTGAAAACAGGAGGAGGATCAACGTTTTCTGACTGAGGTTCTGACAGAGGAGGGGGTCGCTGTTTCTGTGTTAACTAACGTTAATTCTCATTTCATTTTGAACTGCATTTCGGTGCTCTATACTTACACGGGTCACGTGGTCTATCGTTCCAGGGGTCATCAAAGGGCAATGGTGAGAGTGACCTGGGGCGCCACATATCACTTCCGGTCAGGGTATTTTTCGTTAAGGAGTCCACTGGTCACTACACATAGACGTCAGCCTATAAATACGAGAACATCAATACAATTTATTGTTTTAATTTCACATATTGATATCACATTGCAATAGCAAAGATATATAACCGTCAAATATTCAGGTATACAACCAGTCAGGTGTGTGTATGCATACAGGTATAACTATTTATCAGATGTGGTGTATATATACATACAGGTATATACCTGTCAGGTGTGTTTTATACATGCAAGTATATATTTGCCATGTGTGTTGTGCATACAAACTGGTATATACCTGTCAGATATGTGTATGCATACAGGTATATATTTGTCAGATGTGTATATACATACAGGTATTTATTTATCAGGTGTTGCGCGCACATACAGGTATAAACTCGATAGATATGTGTTTACATACAGGTTAATACACGGGTATATTATATATTTGCCATGCACGTTGTTTACATATAGGAATATACCTGTCAGATGTGTGTATGCAAACAGGTACATAGTTGCGAGATATGTGTATACATACATGTATGTTCCCGTAAGATGTGTGTAAACATACAGATATACACTTGTAAGGTATATACCTGTAAGATGTCTGTTTACCTAAAGTTGATATTTGTCAAGTGTGGTGTAAACATACAGGTATATACCTGCCATATGTCACGTGTTGTTTTAATACAGGTATATACTTTATACTTATCAGGTGTGCTGTAAAAATATACATGTACGGTATATACGTACTTTCAGGTGTGCTGTATACATACAGATATACACGTATGTGCTGTGTACATACACGTATATACCTGTCAGATGTGCTGTGTACATACACGTATATACCTGCCAGTCGTGCTGTGTACAAACACGTATATACCCGCCAGGTGTGCTCTGTACAAACACGTATATACCTGTCAGGTGTGCTGTGTACATACACGTATATACCTGTCAGTCGTGCTGTGTACCTACAGGTATATACCTGTATGTACACAGCACACCGGACAGGTATATACCTGTATGTGCACAGCACGACTGGCAGGTACATACACGTATATATCTGTCAGTCGTGCTGTATACATACAGGTATATCCCTGTCAGGTGTGCTGTGTACGTACACGTATATACCTGTCAGTCGTGCTGTGTACAAACACGTATACACCCGTCAGGTGTGCTGTGTACATACACGTACACACCTGTCAGTCGTGCTGTGCACATACAGGTATATACCTGTCAGGTGTGCTGTGTACATACACGTACATACAGGTTTATACCTGTCAGTCGTACTGTGTACATACACGTATATACCTGTTAGATGTGCTGTGTACAAACACGTATATACCCGTCAGGTGTGCTGTGTACATACACGTATACACCTGTCAGTCGTGCTGTGTACATAAAGGTTTATACCTGCCAGTCGTGCTGTGTACATGTACGTATACACCTGTCAGTCGTGCTGTGTACATACAGGTTTATACCTGCCATTCGTGCTGTGTACATACACGTATACACTTGCATTGCTGCTGTGTACATACACGTATACACCTGTCAGGTGTGCTCTGTACATATACGTATACACCTGTCAGTCGTGCTGTGTACATACAGGTTTATACCTGCCAGTCGTGCTGTGTACATACACGTATACACTTGCATTCCTGCTGTGTACATACACGTATACACCTGTCAGTCGTGCTGTGTATATACACGTATACACCTGTCATTCGTGCTGTGTACAAACACGTATATATCTGTGTACATACACGTATATACATGTCAGATGTGACGTGTACAAACACGTATATAACTTGCAGTCTTGCTGTGTACATACAGGTATATACCTGTCCGGTGTGCTGTGTACATACACGTACATACCTGCCAGTCGTGCTGTGCACAAACACGTATATATCTGCCAGTCGTGCTGTGCACATACACGTATACACTTGCATTCCTGCTGCGTACATACACGTATACACCTGTCAGGTGCGCTGTGTACATATACGTATACACCTTTCAGGTGTGCTGTGTACATACAGGTAAATACCTGTCAGGTGTGCTGTTTTCATGTACGTATACACCTGTCACTTGTGCTGTGTACATACAGGTAAATACCTGTCAGGTGTGCTGTTTTCATGTACGTATACACCTGTCACTTGTGCTGTGTACATACAGGTAAATACCTGTCAGGTGTGCTGTTTTCATGTACGTATACACCTGTCACTTGTGCTGTGTACATACAGGTAAATACCTGTCAGGTGTGCTGTGTACATATACGTATCCACCTGTCATTCGTGCTGTGTCCATATACGTATACACCTGTCATTAGTGCTGTGTACAAACACGTATACGCCCGTCAGGTGTGCTGTGTACATACACGTACACACCTGTCAGTCGTGCTGTGTATATACACGTATACCCCTGTCAGTCGTGCTGTGCACATACAGGTATATACCCGTCAGATGTGATGTGTACATACACGTATATTCCCGTTAGATGTGCTGTGTACAAACACGTATATACCTGTCATTTGTGCTGTGTACAAACACGTATACGCCCGTCAGGTGTGCTGTGTACGGGGACGTATACACCTGTCAGGTGTGCTCTGTACATATACGTATACACCTGTCATTCGTGCTGTGTCCATATACGTATACACCTGTCAGTCGTGCTGTGCGCATACAGGTATATACCTGTCAGGCGTGCTGTGTATATACACGTATTCCCCTGTCATTCGTGCTGTGCACGTAAGCTTGAGTGTATTTATACTCTAGGTCTCGTCATGTTCAAGAATTCGTTATAAGATTTCCCCCTGTGACTTTGAAAGATAGCCAAATAAATAATTGTATCAAGTCACGTCTTAAAGCCCCCTCATCCCACCATGCTACATGAAAGTACAAACACGTATATACCTGCCAGTCGGGCTGTGTACATACAGGTATATACCTGTCAGGCGTGCTGTGTATATACACGTATACCCCTGTCAGTCGTGCTGTGCACATACAGGTATATACCTGTCCGGTGTGCTGTGTACATACACGTACATACAGTTTTATACCTGCCAGTCGTGCTGTATACATACACGTATACACTTGCATTCCTTCTGTGTACATACACGTATATACATGTCAGATGTGACGTGTACAAACACGTATATAACTTGCAGTCTTGCTGTGTACATACACGTATATCCCTGTCATTCGTGCTGTGTACATATGCGTATACACCTGTCATTCGTGCTGTGCGCGTAAGCTTGAGTGTATTTATACTCTAGGTCTCGTCATGTTCAAGAATTCGTTATAAGATTTCCCCCTGTGACTTTGAAAGATAGCCAAATAAATAATTGTATCAAGTCACGTCTTAAAGCCCCCTCATCCCACCATGCTACATGAAAGTACAAACACGTATATACCTGCCAGTCGGGCTGTGTAAATACAGGCATATATCTGTCAGTCGTGCTGTGTCCATACACGTATATACCCGTTAGATTTGCTGTGTACAAACACGTATATATCTGCCAGTCGTGCTGTATACCTGTCAGTCGTGCTTCGTACATACACGTATATACCTGCCAGTCGGGCTGTTTACATACACGTATATACCCGTTAGATTTGCTGTGTACAAACACGTATAGACCTGTCATTCGTGCTGTGTACACACACGTATACACCTGTCAGTCGTGCTGTGCACATACACGTATACACTTGCATTCCTTCTGTGTACATACACGTATATACCTGCCAGTCGGGCTGTGTAAATACAGGCATATATCTGTCAGTCGTGCTGTGTCCATACACGTATATACCCGTTAGATTTGCTGTGTACAAACACGTATATACCCGTCAGGAGTGCTGTGTACATACACGTATATCCCTGTCATTCGTGCTGTGTACAAATACGTATATACCTGTCATTCGTGCTGTGTACATATGCGTATACACCTGTCATTCGTGCTGTGCGCGTAAGCTTGAGTGTATTTATACTCTAGGTCTCGTCATGTTCAAGAATTCGTTATAAGATTTCCCCCTGTGACTTTGAAAGATAGCCAAATAAATAATTGTATCAAGTCACGTCTTAAAGCCCCCTCATCCCACCATGCTACATGAAAGTACAAACACGTATATACCTGTCAGATGTGATGTGTACATACACGTATATACCCGTTAGATTTGCTGTGTACAAACACGTATATACCCGTCAGGAGTGCTGTGTACATACACGTATCTACCTGTCAGTCGTGCTGTGTCCATACACGTATATACCCGTTAGATTTGCTGTGTACAAACACGTATATACATGCCAGTCGTGCTGTGTACATACGCGTATACCCTTGCATTCCTGCTGTGTACATATACGTATACGCCTGTCAGTCGTGCTGTGTATATACACGTATTCCCCTGTCATTCGTGCTGTGCACGTAAGCTTGAGTGTATTTATACTCTAGGTCTCGTCATGTTCAAGAATTCGTTATAAGATTTCCCCCTGTGACTTTGAAAGATAGCCAAATAAATAATTGTATCAAGTCACGTCTTAAAGCCCCCTCATCCCACCATGCTACATGAAAGTACAAACACGTATATACCTGTCATTTGTGCTGTGTACAAACACGTATATCCCGGCCAGTCGTGCTGTGTACAAACACGTATACACCTGTCATTCGTGCTGTGTACATATACGTATACACCTGTCATTCGTGCTGTGTACAAACACGTATATACCTGCCAGTCGTGCTGTGTACAAACACGTATATATCTGCCAGTCGTGCTGTGTACATACACGTATATATCTGTCAGTCGTGCTGTGTACATACACGTATATACCTGTCATTCGTGCTGTGTACAAACACATATATACCCGTCAGGTGTGCTGTGTACATACACGTATATACCTGTCAGATGTGATGTGTACATACACGTATATATCTGTCAGTCGTGCTGTGTACATACACGGATATACCTGCCAGTCGTGCTGTGTACAAACACGTATACACCTGTCAGTCGTGCTGTGTACATATACGTATACACCTGTCATTCGTGCTGTGCACGTAAGCTTGAGTGTATTTATACTTTAGGTCTCGTCATGTTAAAGAATTCGTTATAAGATTTCCCCCTGTGACTTTGAAAGATAGCCAAATAAATAATTTTATCCAGTCACGTCTTAAAGCCCCCTCATCCCACCATGCTACATGAAAAATAACAATATTCTAGACTTTATGCATGTCGTGTTGCATAATAGTCCATCGAAAATGTCAACACATTTGACCCATGTGATCAAGTTAATAAAATTAAAAGTAATTTTATACGTTTCCACATAATTGACTTGGAGCCGTCTGTCCTCGCTGAAACCAGAGTAGGGCACATATTTTTGTTTTAAAAATGTATTGTCCTTATTTTTTCCCTTAAATTTGATAGCATGCAAATAAATGGTCGATGAAGCAATTTGTGTATTAAAATTTCAACTGGTCATGATTTTATCCCAACAGAGACGGGGATGATTGACGACCGTCTGAGGGGCTCAGGAAGGGGAAACGTTTAATATCGGCAATATAAAGTCAAACATTTAAAGAGTGCACAGTCGATTATTTTAATATATTTAAAGATATTGTTTCTTTCAAAATGAAGAATTTAAAACGCAATTACTTAAAATGTGTCTGAATGGTTACGGTCAAGTTTTCCTGGTAGCGACCAATCTCTCATTTCCTTCCTTGTACCTCAAAAAGTCATGCCGGCATTGACATTATTTTGTATCACTCGTCTCTTGTTTGGTTACGTCTGGTTTTGTTCTTGCCATTCGATCTACTGTATCACGTTTGTGTCGGATTAACTGTCATTTATATTGATAACGTAAATATAAAATTCCAAACCCAATTATTTACTAAACCCCCAGCGACAACTCAAAATGTTACAATCGTGATTTGGTACAACACGTTCTGTTTGCACGAGACGTTATTTGATAAAGTATGAACTTTTATACTGAAAACAATTGTTTCCCAGAATACCATTGTTTTTACTGTCTCCCAAAAGCGCCATTGTGTTCCGCAGAAATACCAATCCCTCTCCTGAAATACCACTCAAGGTTTTTCCAGAACTACCGCTAATACAAAAATACCAATGCTTCCCAGAAAATCTCCGAGAGATACCAGTTACCAAGAAACCTCATATACTCAGAAATGCTATGGTTCCCATCCTCGATACCTTGTGCCGCTTTCGTTAATTGCTATCCAAACGGTTGAACCGGTTGGGTTCGTTTATGAAATGAGGTCGGACCTAGTAATTTGATGCTGCTTTCAGGCGAGGTTTGACAACGGCATAACTGACAAACACGACAGGCCCCAGGGGCTACGCTCACTATCGCAAGAGAGCGAAAGTGAGCGTAACCCCTGGATTATCGAGGGAGCGTGTTTCCGAGAAACAACACTGGTCACCCAAGTAATCTCCCTGAATCACATATAGATTGTATGTATGCCATTTGTCAGTTTGTAGCCACCTTTATTTACGATAAGGTGAATGATATAATAGCCCTTTACCTGGACATAACCTCTTTGTCCGAAACATATGTCACTATATAGGAAAATCTTGAACTGTTTACATGACAAAAACAGGTCTTTATCCCTTGGGCGTTAAAATTATCACTTCCATTATAAGAAATGTTACAAATAAATAAGTCAAATGTGAATGTATGACGACAATTAGTAAGTCAAAATATTGAAACACCTAAGGCAGGGAACTAAGGACACATGAAAGTCCCAAGGGGACGATTTAAGCATTGTTGTAAATCAAAACAAATGTAGGATGACATTGCAATTTGCGATAAGCCCCTCTTTTCGTCGTGGTTCTAATGAGCCCACTTCAAAGTTCTGTCAACTGAACAAGGTATAGGTATAATGTATATATCCTTTGTTAATTATTTCACGTGTTTTTATAGTATGTGTTATTGTCTGCGAAGTGAATTTCTTTTGTATTTCCTTCATTTTCATGAGTTGTCTCCCTTGTATGGTCCACTCTTGGCCTTAAAACTAAGGGTCGAGAAGCACCGACAGAAATAAATACTGGAAAATAGTTTTATACAGTAAGCGACAATCAAATAATTGTTGTTAAAACTTTATATGACTTTAAAACAAACAAATAAACACGATGTTTCAACTGGACGTGGAATAGTGACCTAGTTATAAATAATAATTGACGTTTTTATAACTTCTCCGGTATGTATCTTACATCATATTTTAACTGTCTGTTTATATATCGGTTGTATATGCGTGGAATATAGTGACCTAGTTATAATGCATTGACGCTTTTATTTATGACTTGCTATTTTAGAATGTCAGGCGTGTGAATTTGATAGAATATATAGGCTAAATGAAAAAATAATAAATATATACATATAAAATATCAAAAAAGTAGAGTATTTTTTTTAGCAATTTTGTTTTCCTATTATAATAACCCAACAGTAATATGCATCTATACACGAATATTACAAAGATCGTTACGTAGGTTGGTTGACGGGTTTATCGCCTACATGACTTGCACCTATGCGGGTTTCGTCTCACTGACGGAGTTTGTTACGTATGAAATATTTGGAACTTTATATCCCTGGGACTACGCTACAACGTACAATATTACAAGTATGCTAATCAGATCATGTTAACAACTGAAGTGGGGGGACGGAGTGGAGTGGGGGGACGGAGTGGACAAACTCAGTCCATCACAAGGTTACGTAACTATTTCGTAGTAAGCACCAACATGGTCCTCGGGGAGCGTTTGAGTAAATCGTTTGTATTTCTCGACTTAAGGTGAGCACAGAATTCTACTTAGGCCATGGCCAGTGAATGAAGTTTCTTCTAATTTCATGTAAATTTACTATATATAGAATAAATGCTCCAACATTGGAAAATATAAATATGATAATTCAAGCATAATTAAACTTGTGTATAGTAGACACTGGCTATTATTACTGAGCCGACTAGAGATTATCCTCCATGTCAACATCGTGAAATCAACAAACCTTGAATTGAATCTTGAATCTTGAATCTTGAGGAACACAGATTCTCGTGTCTTATTGAAGTAAATCCAAATTGGAAGAAAAATAGTGCTCCGTTTGATGGATACTTCCGGGGTTTCCGATCAATGATGTGAAAGGCAGGTCACTATGGCTTTGGGAGCTATCCAGGGAATGTCCACGCAGCCCAGTACATGTCAGTGCTAAGTTCTTGGGATTAAACGGTAGAGGATTATACCACGTCAGAAATGGGAAAACACGCTAAACTCCATAAACCAATATTATTCCAACTCGCCGCTGCACTGGTTTCACTTTCACTTAGGAACACACCCGGGTTACTTTCAAACTTGCGAATCCTTGTTGCACTTTGTTTACACCTGTAACCGGTAGTACATACGGAAGTAGTTATTAACTGACCCTATATCACCTGTCCAGACCAAAGCATGATATACAGTGACCAGAGGCTAGTAGTCATAAAAGCATTCTGTTGTAAGTACACACGGTGCGTGTGCGTACACACGGTGCGTGTGTGTACTTGACCTACATTTAATGTGTAGACACCACTGCACGGTGTCTACAGAGGCCCCGCGTTAATCCGGACATTTTCGCCTCCCGAACAATTACCTCAGATAATGGTCAGAACTTTAATTGTTTTTATGGAACGTTAACTACGATGGATGGACAATAAAGTGTGCCTGTCTGACGCTACCGTCGGGGATCGATCTTAATTAAACTAGGGTTATATCGCTATTCCCGTTCATCATCGACACTATTGATAGAAACATTAATAGCCAACAAGTACCGTAGAGAAACGATTTTTTTGGCAAATTGTTTATTTTTCTCAGATTCAACATGGCAAAAGCACACGCTCACATGCGCTCACACACATACACACTTACATAAATACTATTTCTATTTTTCCTCTTTGCCATCGTCGTCGTCGTCATCGCCGTGCATCATCATCATCATTCAATCATCATCATCATCATCATCATCATCATCATCATCAATATCATCATCATTATCATCATCATCATCATCATCAGATATGGTTTTTTATAAGATTGATGGGTTTGGGTTTAACGTCCCATTAACTGATAAGGTCATTCAAGGACGTACCTTCATGTGTATTGTGTATGCGTGCATGTGTGTATGTGTGCTGGTGACAGGGTATCCTGTTGGTTTTTTACCTCCTTGTGGTAGGATGGATCTGGTGCCGAAGATTGATGGGAAATTGGCGTTTCATTTGTGAACATTTATTTGAATATTCATTAATTTTTCAGATGTCTTAATTAATACCGGCTCAGTATTTTGGAGGACGGTAACCTGGAGGACAGAACAGCTAGACTGACACACGTGTAATATTCATTCATGATTAATGGGGTTCATTACCATGATCGCTCGTATAATAATAATAATATTAATAATAATAATCTTTATTTAACGTCGTGTACAATATAGGTGTTTGAGTGGAAATATATAATTTCAAAGAGAGAAAACGACATCTACGACACTTCAAAATATATGTAAGTTGTCCACTTCAATGTGTAAAAAAGTGTTATCTTTGAGAGTAGGAGGAGAGTCGAGTGGGCCAGGAGTGGTCAGAGTGGTCAGTGGTTCTAATTAATGAGTTGTCAGCTGCAGCTGTACATATCAGTGAGTGTCTGCGGAGGGTCTGTAGTTGTTTATTCATATTACTTGGTTCTGGAGACCTTATGAAGTTGTCAATTAAAGCTTGGACCGGCGTTAGGGTGAAATGTTGATTGAGAATGACCAGTGTCGTGAGAACAAAGGGTGGTGTGTGTTACAGTGGAGATAGGACAGGTTGTGTGTGTGTGTGACAGAGGTCAGTTTAGTTTTGTGAGGTGCACGAGAAAGGACGTAACTATTGGGAGTTGTGGTACGAACGTGTGAGTGCCAACATGTGAGCGGTGAACGTGTAGCGGTGTACGTAAAGATGTACCTGTATATAATTATATAGATCTAAATAAACTGTAAATAGAAGTCAGTGCATTGTCTTATAATTATGACATCATAGACAAACCAGTGGCTCCGTCACAAATGAGCTACTTCAAATATCTATATTGATCGATGCTTTTTTTTTCTTCCCCTTTTTCTTTTTTTTCACTTCTGCTACCACTAACCCTCTACCACTGGAACGCGGGTTCGAGACCTACGTGGGACAGTTTCGCCATATACTGGCCGTTGGACGGTGATTTTTCTCCCGGAACTCCGACTTTTCTCCACCATCAAAACCTGCCACGTCCTTAAATGACCATTGCTATTAACAGGACGTATAGCTGAACTTGATGCAATGGGACCTCGATTGACTTGCCACCTCATTTACTGGCAAACTGTTTCAAGGTTCACTCTTCCCCCTTTTTATCAATGACCGATTATTAATCCCTGTATACGTCTTAATGTGTTTGGGATTTGCGTCCGATATTTATTTCACGACCGAGATGTGATACTGAATGTAGAGGGGGATACACCTCCCTGTATCACAAACCATTTTCCTCACGAAAGAAGATACTCCGTTTCAACAACTCTCAACCAGTGTCTCGTTTAAGTATTTCGTAGATTTGTATGTAAATGTTACAATTCAGTAATGCAATTTATAGATGTTCACCGGTACTAGCCTCGCCTTTCAATACGACTATACTATAAAACGGTTGTACTCACAGAAGAGTCTGGTACCTGCGGAAGTTCTTGTGAAGGTAGTAATCACCAATCTATGACTCATTTGAGGAACAATATGCCTCCTCTATTTACATGTAGTTGCATAAGCCAACACGGAAGGTTGTAAACGTTATTTGGATGGGGCCAGGGTGACTTTGCCCCATTATCAAATACAGTGAACTAATTCTGCGTTAATCAAATATTAGCGTACGGTTTTGCCCCAAAGAGACTAAACGTGCGTCACCACGCCTGGAATGGCGGATTCTGGCAACGATTTTTTTTTGTTACTGGTGCGCACTAACCGAACTACTCGGTAGTGAACTATACACACTTCAGCTTCAGATGGTATTACGGGCTTCTTTGTAAACTGTTATATCCCCAGAATCTATTCTTAACTCGTCCTTTCCGCTCCCCCCCCCCCCCCCCCCCCCCCCCCTTGGAAGTTTGCCTTAAAATAAAGTACAAGCCCGCTCTGAAACCATATTTTTTTTTTTTTTTATTAAAACACACTATTAAGCAAAGGCACTACAGTTGAGCAAGAAGTAATAAACAAGAACCATGGAAAGGTACAAAGCAAATTAGACCAGGTGTTCCGGAAGGGAAAGCGTTTTCTGGTTTGTCGACGACAACCGCCAGGTAAATATAGCACACATCCAAGTATTGTTACGTCCAGATAGCGACTTGGATAAAATATCGGGAACCGCAATTGCCATATGAGCAGATAATTGGCGCAATACAACCTGACTGATATAATTTACAAACTTGAAAGATGACGTTGAGACAGAAGTGTTTTTATGTCTCTTGGTGTAGCCATTCAAAATTTTGATATACAAACGGTAAACTTTCTCCAATTTTACTTGAAATAGAGCAGATTGTAGTTTTAGATGTCAGGCATCGATGGTATGTTCCGAGGATCCGGCATTGTGCATCTAGTATAATGTCGGGGTTCGATCTTATTTGAATAGTTCTTTTTCAAATTATTGGAGATAGAACAACACGCCCTGGTTGAGTCTTAGTTCTTCATGAATGTGTGACAATCTCAGGGAAGGAGGCAAAAGCATGCGTAAGATTTAGCCTGCGATAAACGATAACATGTAATGTCAATGAGAGAATGACAAAATATATATGGAGTAAAAATAAGTGTTTTTTGAATAATACCTTAAATTGGATTGTACTCCCTATTTTATATTGTCGTTGTGGACTTTCCCTATACCTGTTTACCTGGGAAATTCCGTGCAAAATGAGGCAACATATTTGTCTTTGTTCTCACGAGTCAATCCGCCCGTCTTATCTGACAAGGTAGTGCGTGACTCTTGCTTTTCATCATGTCGAAACATGCTTATGTTTCTTGGTTGGGTGATTGTGCCTGAGCTCCGGTGCGTTGATATCTTGTTGGGATTGTGTGGCCTTTATCGGAGGATTTATCATAAGTCCTTTGGGTGCTTGGATAGTTTTAACCGATGCGAGCCGTGTTGGAAATCTGCATAGTTGACATATCTTGTCTATTTAGAATAGTAGTTGCATTTTAGACACTGTTACAGAAATTTCGAAAATGAACCGTTTGGAAAGACAGTAACATGCTATATTTGCGAACGTATTAAATTGTTTTCTCTTGCGAGACCTTTACGACTGTTTATAGTTGAGATCTTCCGATAAAAGAGCATATTAAACGCAATGTCCATAGGAAGCTTTATTTCCCTTCAAAACATAGACGGATGATTGCACAGCTCGACTCGCGCGGGTTGCTACCATTATACTAAGCATAAACTGTTAGACCACTTATCAAGATTATCAGAGCAGAAGACACTCAATGTTTGAGCTAGGACGCTGACGTTTTACAAAGGTGTGATACGGACTTGTGTAACGCCCTGTGACTTGGAACAGATGGCATATAGAGCTGCCACTAGCTTACTCGCAAAGTTTTGTCTCGTGGTGTTCAGTAGCCATGATGCGACATTAGCGACATCTTGTGTTTTCAGTTGTGAAACTCACAGTCTTTTGTCATACTCTTACTCTTTTGTTTTCGATAAATTTAAAGAAAATTCAAAAAGAGTTAGCTTACGTATCAGTTTTGTCACATGGCGCTCTAATAGCAATGATCGAAAGACCTCATGATAAAGCATGGACGCGATTCCAGAGGCATCTTGTGTCTTCAATTAAGAAACTCTTGTGGTTTTTATAAGTTCCACAGGAGCATGGACAAGACGGCAAATCTTTCGTTATCGATAAAATTTATTCTAGTCTTCATGACACAATTATGCTCAAGTTCATCATGACACGATTCATTATGTTACTGATAATATTTATAAAGAATAAACCACAGTCTATTCTTATTACAATGCTATATTGTCAGAAAATTAAGTGGGAATAGAAACTATGTTTCCTGTGCAAATCATGGCAATTTAAATGTGTAAGTAGTATTGTTAAGTAGGTGACGTACTTACAAACAAATCCTGACTGTTTGAATTAGTAGAATTGTCAGACCCTAACTCTTTCGTTTTAAATAAATTTAAAAGAAAAATTAAGAATTAGGTAAGCATGGTAATAGTTTATAGTTACTGTCTACAACATGTTGTAATGAGTAGGTAAAGTTTGCCGGTAACAACTCCAAACATTCCTGGTGGAGGTAATGTATGCATCCCCGCCCACCACAGGAATGTGTGGCTTTGTTACCGGCAACAATGCGTGGTATGTGTGGAGGTAAAACAACGCGAGGTATTTGTGGAGGTAAAACAATATATCTCAAACGATAGTCAGCTACTAGTGTTTCTGACGACTGACTA